TACAGATATTAGACGTCTAAGAAAATTAACCAGTTTTCAGGGGAAAATATTTTGTATAGGGAATTTATTTTTTGAAACTGTTTGCAAAGGTAAAAAGGATCATTATACTAGTAGCATATAGACAGTGAAGTAATTTATATCAAAATATTCACTTCAAAGAACTTTCAGAATCATTCATTAAAAACCCTTCTATTCTATTTTTAAACAATTGGTACTCTAAAAATCTCGAATCTGGATAAATTATTTCAAGTACCTGTGGTTTTATATCAAAAAGAGCATTATTACAACAGTACTTTCTAAATATGTGACGTATACTTTGGCGGTTTAAAAGTCCCGCTCGAAGACCTCTCTTCACAAACCGAAAGTAACAACATTTTAATGCGAGTTACTTCCCTTTGCACAAATCATATGACACGTCACATGTTCACATCATATCAAAATGGCGATAGACGTTCTACAAACTGTTCCCCTAGCTCTGTTCCTGTTGTCACTGTTTCTGCCTGGGGCAGAGGCATTTGATGCAGGCGATGCAATAGCCTTGGTCCTCGGGCTTGTAATTGGAATCCTGGGGATATGTGCGTGTCTTGGTTACTACGCCCGGAGACGATCGTCATAATAATTTGTGGAACCGGAAAAGGGAGGTGTGTATTGACTATTGTATGAAATATGTGACTATTGAATCGTCGGGAGAAGGAAGTCAAGGTGTTGTGAACTTTATTTATTGTACAAAATGGTAATTTATATCAAAACAGACGGCATTATGTATCTGTGGTTTACACCTCATCTTGTGAAGACGAGATAAACACGGACATGCCATCACATGATATCGTAAGGCCATGTCTTATGATGAGATAGGCCCATCATACCACGTCTACTACAAATACTCAACGTTCACTTTCCTTGTGAATAATCTGTCCCATCACACAAAGACTCGTATTTGTGTGGTGGACGTATTCTACTCTTCAGTACGTGAGATAAATTTAATAATGAAAATTTCTAATAAGAAGATGATCCAGTGGTGTTATCCAAATACAGTCAACTTTCTTTCAAGAAATCAGGATGGAACTCTGAAAACGGAGACTAATTATGCAGTGATGGTATTTAATTTTGACTTTTAACTCTCACGTTTTTCGACATGCAGGAGACCTGTTAATTGTCGATAATTTCTACAATAGTCAATCTGCTGTGTCATTATCGGACTGTTTTAATTTAATACATTCCATCCATATCATTGTGGCTCCCGAAACGTGTCGCTGAATCGTTAATCCAGAAGAAGAGACAGTTGAAAAGAAGAACGCCTGTGTTGGAGGATGAATGACTATGATTATATGTGATTGAAACTGCAGAGTGGCTGTGTCTGAGAGGGACTATTGAATATAAAGATGAACAAGGTTTAATTTGAATCCAAAATCTATGTGTTGGTAGATACAATATTAAAGAGAACAAACTATAGCTTTGTATTATTGAATAGATAATATGGTTGATTTAATAAAATAAAATATCCAGTTAATCCAATTTTGTTGCTACTGTATACTACTTAAGTCCACATATTGTTACATTTTATCAGTGAAAATTTATGGGCGAGGCTTTCAGTTGAACATTGTCATTTAGCAATTTCAAAAGTAAGAAAATGTTCATTTCATTGACTTTGGAGAGTTAAAGAACACATGTCAAATGGATGTCTTTTCGAATCCAACAGTCAAACAGATACTCAATGTCCTTTTGAAAGCCCTGATCAAATTCTCTTTGGTCAAAGTGGTATCAGTGACAATATACATTTTACTATTTTCACTAGTGAAGATAAACTGCTGATTGTGATCACAAGGCAAAGACTATGATTAGACATACATGTAAATATGTACAATCAAATGTCTCCAAACAACTGTGGTCAGTATGTATTTAACCCATTCACCCCTAAAGTCACATTTGAACCTTACCAAATCAAAGACTAGACAAGTCCAGTTCAAATATATAGGGGTGAATGAGTTAATTACAACTGAGAGTTTGTTTAGCCATAATAGATGTTCGAACAATGATAGTATACCTGCTATTTGGTTTCTACTTTAAACATTGGTTGTAGAAACATATTCTAGATATTGGAATTTGAAGATATATATCAGCCACAGGAATGGGAAACATTGTTCAGTGTGTGAGCTGTTAAAACATTAAGGATTTCAGTTATGTTACCACATGGGAAAACTACTAGCCACTGGTCAGTGGAATAGCAGCTTATTCCACCCCTGTTCTATGCATGTAAAATGAGTATTTTGTACAATCATCCATTTGCAAGTTTCTCTACAGACCTGTGAAGTATACAAGTTTTCAGGTTATCATTCAGAGAAGCAAAATTCTATTTTTAGCAATGCTGACCTTGACCTCTGACTGCCTGCTCCTTACATCAATAGGCTTAAACAAAGTTTGAATTTTGTATGGAACTTTATTCTGAAGTTCTTATCATGACAATGATAATGAAGCAAACTTCTATATTAGCAAGGATGACCTTGGCCTCTTGTAGACCACATCCCATATCAAATGGGTTCTATTGGTCAACTAGAGAAACCCACTCATCAATTTGAACTTTGTTTGATATTTTTTTTCAAGTTATTATTATCTGGAAAAGCATATTTTATTTTGAACAATGCTGACCTTGACCTCTGCATACCACGCCCAAAATCATTAGGCTTCTCTGCATCCACTAGAGCAACTCACACATCAAGTTTGAACTTTTCGATCAGGATCATTCATTCTGACTATCCTCTAGACAAGTCTAACCAAGCAGTTTTCTACCTTTAGCAATGCTGACCTTGACATCTGGTGACCACGCCTAAAATCAATGTGCATCCATTAGGGTAACTCACTTACCAAGTTTGAACTTTTTATAAACAATTATTCTCAAGTTATGGTCCGGATGAGCACTATGGCCAGACCAACGGACACTGACCAGTGTAAGTGTAGTGGTTATATCCTCCATTTTTGTTTTCGAGGGGGGGGGGGGGNGGGGGGGGGGGGGGGAGGGGGTTAACAAATACTCATTTAAAATAATAACATGTCCAGGTTTATGATATCTCAGAACAAGTGATCAACCGATTATACTGTAAATGGTGAATCTCATAATTAGACTTTGCTACATGATATGTTAATTGTGACTCCAGGTTACTCTGGCCTATAGCATAATCAGAATTAGACTTAGCTGTGTTAATTGTGACTCCAGGTTACTCTGGCCTTAGTATAATCAGAATTAGAATAGCTGTGTTAATTGTGACTCCAGGTTACTCTGACCTTAGTATAATCATAATTAGACTTAGCTGTGTTAATTGTGACTCCAGGTTACTCTGGCCTAAGTATAATCAGAATTAGACTTAGCTGTGTTAATTGTGTGAGATGATACAGGAAATGCATTACTTACTCTGGCCTAAATATCATCAGAATTTAAACATGTATATATTCATAGAAGTACTGTTACATGCAGAAATTCAATTATGTATGTATATTATGACAGTTATTGATTTATATGCAGTGAATGCATAAAGGCATGACATGCAATTCTAAACCCCCTGTCCAATACAAAAATGATCAAATTTCTTTTAACAGTTAATTTCAGCCCTGCTGTTCAAAGTGCCCTATTTTTTGTCATTAATTGATTCTATCAATCTACAATAGTAGTCAAAGGAATGGAGCAACACCTGTTTATCTATATGTTCAGTAATAGTGGAACTGAATCAGACCATAAAAGATTCAGAACATAGACTGTTACATACCTAGTAATACCATGTATAATTGTTGGCTCACAGGCATAACTCTGATTCTGCTTTGATATAACAATCAACCCATAATAAGAAAACAAAAATTGAGACAAAAAATTCTTAGCTCGCTAGAAATACTAGAGAGTATGCAGGGTTATAAAATTCTTATGTATATAGAAGTAATGTTACTTACAGGAGAAATCGATGGACTATTTTTTTTATCAAAATAGTATTTATTCATAGGTATAATGAATGTTACCTGTTGCCAAGTATTTCTCATGAAAACAGCCTTAAAAAAACCAGAGTTGTAACAATGATAAAACCAACCCTTGATATGTTCCGACTGTCCTGACCACGATATGGACTTTTTAACACAAAAAGCGGTTCACAAATTATTATCCGTGGTTATAGGGCCTTTGCAACCAGTCAAAGTCAACTCACTGGGGAGCATACAGCCGGTGCTGCCATTTCGGCGTTCACAGCTAGCATTATATAATGCAGTCACTGCCCAACCACGTACTTTTTTTACAGCTATGTAGAATGAAACAAGCAGAGTAACGTAGCTTGCTTTAAGATACAACACAGTGCCGTGCCGTGGCTCGAACCCACATTCCTTCGGTCACGAGCCCGCGGGCCTCCTACCACTAGACTGCCGTGCCTCCATGCCATGATATTAAGAAATTTGTCGTCGAAAAAGAGGGACTTAGAAGGAACAGCATGTCATCCTGAATCGATTGTACAGTCCCCTTTATAGATATAGCTAAGATGTATTTATTTTCTTGGACTTGAGCTTAATAGTCATTTTCTATTTTAAACATTTGTGAGAGAAGGGCACGATTTCCGAGAATAACCGTTTTTACGTTAGAAGTATTACTAATCCCCAACATATTAGCCACCTTATGACATGTGGTGATGGATCGCTGGTGTGTACGTTCAACATTTCGCTTTTATAAAAGAGAGTTATGGACGGTTCAGGCATCTGTTGTAATCAAGGGCTATATAATCAATTGACTAAAATGCACCGAAAGACCGTAGAAAATTAGCATGGAAATATTCGATTACATCTGCATAAGTAACGATTTTAAAAATAAAATGCGTGATGGATTGTGCATTAACTATGATGTATGATTTGGTTATACAGACTCGTATATAAATATCACTTATCATAGAAATTGACTCAATGAAAAACATTTAACTATCATAAATATTGAATTAAATATCAAATAAATTGACATACCACACACAAATCATTCAGGACGTTTATTAAACTTTGTTGATACACCATTGTCATTAGCAGTACTAAGTATATATGCACGAACATAAGGAAGGATGAAAATGTCCATCAATACTACAGTGATATTCCTCTTTATTACCGACGTGTCTTAGGAAATGGTTACTGTGAGGTGGATGTGTTTTGACATTAATTTCTGAAAATGAAAGTACGAGCATTGGTTGTTTAGTTACTGGATCAATCATTATATCATTTTCCTCATCATTGCTTTCTTATTGATTACACTACAAGACAGAGTTGTTTTTTTGGGGGGTTTTCAGCAAATAATGATTGATAAAAAGTGGTATTTTTTTATTTTCGCTGTACTGATCATACGGTCACTATTTTTCAAGACATTATAGATAGTATAAATAGATGAAAGCTGTTTTAACAGTGAAATAATGCACGAAATCATCAGGTACGAACAAAGTTGTTTTTCACGTTCTCTTATACGGGATAACGAAATAAACTTAGAAATATATGTTTCTATAAAACCCCTGTTAGTATTGATAACCTAATCAATATTGCTGGCTCTGTTTATTGGTTAAAGAGTGCATCTGCTAAGTCAGACATTGAAATGCACATTGAATTGGTCCGACCTTTTTTATGACAAGGGTGAGGTATACAATTTTAACTGGGTTTTGCTGCAGACACATGTATGAGTAATATATAGAGCTAATATACTTCAGCTTAAGATAGAAGGATTTTGTAAACTCTCCAAAAGTATAATTTTTTCTCGGGTTTCAGATATTTTATTTTTCTGAAATACCAGTTTACATGCACAACATACAATCTATTCTGCGTTTTATTTATTTTTTATATTTTTACATGTATATGGTGCACAGTACAGTTACGACAGCATGTAATCTTAAGAGTTTATGCAACCCTACATATTAAACCCATAATTTATCTAAGAGTTACCTCCCTTATATTTTAAAATTAGTACCATTAGCCATAATTATTGATCTTTACCGACGTGTCATTAGTACATAACTAACTATGTACCGTTCTTAAGTTACATCAACTATATAACCGTATCCAAATGTACCATTCATAAAATCAAATAGTTTATCGTATGCACACACCATTCAAATTCACCATTCATTCTAAATACAGCAGCCTCAGATCAGAGACGTTTATAGTAATATATACGTCTCTAGTTTGGAACTCTTAAGGAAAGGAAGATATTATCACAGCAAAGTAGCAAACATTATTAAACCTTCTGACCAATTAATGTGACTTAAGTAATTAACAAGGGAGATCATTTCACTAATCGTACCCTGCCTGAGACTCGAAATAATTAATGATCTCAGTGACGGCACTAATTCTAACCATTTCTCATTGTTTCTAGACAAAAATTGATACATATATGTTTGTACGTCTATAACATTTTAAGCGAATACGACATATTGATACATTATATAACAAATGGATGAGTCCCACGTAACGTATATCATAACCATAAAAGGTTCATCACAAAAAGTTACTCGAAAAACCCGTAAAAACAAATTGGAAGTGGACTCCTCACTTCCACCGCAGTATTGACATGATCAAGATATATCGGAGCAGCACTTCCCATAGCTTCTGTACGATATCACAATCACACGAACGACGGTGCGACGACAACTAGAATAATTGTTCGTTAGTGTTCTGTTTGTTAGCTTTTGGAATGGATTTCGATTAACTTTTGATATCAAGGCCATCAACAAAGCTTCCCATTCGAAATCAATTTCTTTCTTCCATGAAGTTCCTCCTGACTTTCAGATCCAACCTACCCACACCATTACGAGTGCTCGGAAAGTCACGTTTATTATACAATAAGCCTTAAAGCACATTTGGACGTTATTCTACAACTGTTCATGAAGACAATTGGTGTATTGGCGTTGACAAGGAATAGTTTAGTTTAACATGATTCCATCACTTGACAAAGAGCTTGGTCTTCTGACGGATCAGATGTTTGTCTTATACATAATAGGGATAAAAATAGCGGTGCACATGTCCTATTTAACGCGTTGTCTTCCTACGAAGCTTTGGCTGTTGTTTTCTCAAGTCCTCGATTTCCTCATGAAGTTGACGTTCACGTTCGCGTAACTTACGCGTCTCCTCGTCTCCGACGTTTTTCGCTGATCGAATTTGTCCAAGAAGACCTTTAACCTTGTCAAGGTCTTTTTTCAGACGATCTATCTCCGACTGAAGTGTTTTCTGAATCTCCATTCGCGTATTTTCTCCATCTGTCGACTTTTCCCGCTCTTTTTTAAGCTCGTCTGCTTTCCTTTTCAGCTTGCTTTTGAGGCTGTTAATCTCGACTTCCATCCGTTTTATGTCCTTCTCTTTAGTATCTACTACCTCAATGATGTCTCTATTACCCAACTCCTTCTCCAGTTTCGCCTGTAAGATCTTTTTCTCCAGTTTCATTTGTTTCACGTCGCGTTCCCGCCTGTTGAGCTCATCCTGAAGTTCCTTGACCTTCGCCGACTTGGAGTCCATCGCTCGATCTGCAGCTTGTTCTGCCATCCGCTCAAATTCGGGCTTCAATTGGTCAATGGCAAGTTTGACCATCTGCTTGGTGAAACTTCCAACGATTCTGTGAAATAGTTTGATACGGTAAAACATGATTTAGATATGATAGATTCAATCTTATTAAATTGTATGTTCAACAAGCCCTTCCTAAAAGGTAGTATTGTCACTCTATATAAATATAAATATCAACCCTATTTCAAGTCAGGCTTATCGACCCCAATTAAGCACATGAATTATATAAAAGATATTCCGTATTATTTTTATGGGGGTATCAGGTTACTTTAATGTCTTAGTACAGACTTAACCTCTTTATGTATCTTTTTTTATAACTAAACTCTTTTAACTAAAGTTCAATCAACCTAATTTGACATTTGAATTATCAAATTAAACTATAGAAATATATATTCAAACCTTTGATGGGTATGTTTGTTATTTCTAGACCTACCACTAAATGCATTTTGCGAGTGAAACAGAAAACAGTATACGACAGCGACAACACAAAAGGTCAAAATTTACCACAACGACAACACACAAGGACAAAATCTATCACAACGTCAACACACAAGGACAGAATTTACCACAACGTCAACACACAAGAACAAAATTTACCACAACGTCAACACACAAGGACAAAATTTACCACAACGTCAACACATAAGACAAAATAATAGACATCATCAATGTTAATGAAAACGAACAAAACAGTAAAAAAATAGCCCAGACGCCTCAAAGAATAAGCGTTTCCTGACCACACCTGGTACCCGTCGTATTGTCGCTTGTAAACCACAGCCAATATTCCGGTCCCTAACAATGATCTAAGACGCAGTAAATAAGAATTCACTGTTGCCTAGCAATGAGTCTCATACATGTACATGCAAATCAAGTCAGGTCAACGACCGTGAAATTTCATCGGTGAAGATTGCAGCCTCTAATATTCGATAAGAGGAAGCATCTGAACCAGAGGAACTTTGAGATGTAAAGTACCTGAAAGCAAGGGGAGCGCGTGCAGTACTATAAAGACATTGCTTAATACACGTATAAACAAATTAGGAATAATATTTTAAATCATGACTTAAATGTGACAAGTAATGACCACAGGACCCATATATTCTGCTAAGCTTAAGCAATTGTTACTCAAATATAAAAAATGCAATTTTTTGAGAAATATATGAAAAAATACAATTTTCTCTTGATATGCTTAGATAATCCTCTTTATATGTAAAATAAATCATAACGATTTGACGAACTGGACCCAGATTGTATTATATCAATTGACTAGTAATCCTACCCCAAACTTTTCCTGAAGTCCTGGAAATCTTTGTTCTCCTCCTCTGATAGAACCTCCAATGCATTGGTGACGTCACCTTTAATAATTAGAACAGTGAGATTACACGTCAATCAAACCATGTCATACTGACAATACGTGTAACAACGTCACTGTCAACGTTATATTATAGTTTATACTGTATCGTCGATTGATCAGTCACCTGCTTTCCTTTAGATTGTCGTGAACAAATATGAGGTGGTCTCCACATGTCGAGAAGTCATCGAGGAAGGAGGAGGGATTTCAGTCCCTTATCTCATAATATGTTTATCACAATAATTTCAATTCTAACATTTATTTTTGGACTTCATTTTGCCTTAAACCTTCTAAGCAGTGATTTTGTGTAATACGACGTAGTGTATCAATATATATGTAATCATACTACTAGCCTTGTGTATTACAGGTAGTAGGTAGTGTGATTGGTTGAGTGATGGGGATTTTCGTAAGTAATTTCCGAAATTACGAAAGTACTGTGTATGAGTCCCCAACGAGTTTAGGTTGGTTATCATAATTATCTAAATAAAGTTAGATCATTTTCAACTCGTATACTGACACGAGGTAATTTACAAACGAGAGTTAGAGTAACATGATAATCAGCCACCACGATTTTTGGGACCTTTTTCTCCCACAACGTTCAGATATTATATCTATAAAACCGTGTTTCTCTTGGAAAATCATATTTTTTTCTGACAAAATTAGGGACAAAAACTAATCAACGATCAACTTAAACATAAAATTTTAAAAAATCCAACATTTTCGAATCCAAAAAATATGAATCATGCAATTTCATATTATTAACATATAACTGTATTACTTAACAGACATATTTTAATTTGTGTTAATTATTTCAACAAATTAAAAAAAATCTCAAGGACACCATGGCTCTCAAGGGCCTTCACCTCTTCTAATGCTCGAAAAGGATGAATGTCCACTGTGTAATAATGACATTGATGTGAAAGGATATCAATGTTATAAAGTAGCAGGTTGATGAAGCCTATGGACACGTTGTATGGTCGTCATTAGGATGTGCTATTTCTTTGTGTAATATGAAGGTGAATGTTTGTGATTATGCTCACTAGAGAACCTTGTTTTTTGTTTTTATTTTTGTTTGTTTGTCACCACCCGAGCTCTCGGTGTGATGATGTGACACTATTTGGATTCGTCTTAGATTTACATTACGGGTCGCATCAATGAAGCAGAAGACGCTTTACCTTCCGGAACACCTGGTCTTATTCTTCGTGTACTTTTCTGGGGTTTCTATGTAAATCTTTTCTTTGTTCATAGTTTGCCCTAGTTTTATCGATTTTCAGTTAGAATTATGGGTTTGTCGACACTTTGGTATTCTCTGATATATTAGCCTTTATTTTAAACTTGTTGATACGATTAAGGAATAAAAGTAATGTGTTTACATGTTGTAACTTTAATTGGTTTGTTTGTTTGTTTGTTTGTTTGGGGTTTAATGTCCTCGCAAAAGCCAGGGTCATATGAGGACGGATACCTAGTATAGAGAGGCACCGCCTAAAACAGAAAATAGAGAGAAAAGAAAGAAGACAGGAAACGAAAAAGATCCCAAGTGGCTCTAACTAGATTGTATACGGTAAATGTATAACGGCATGTATGTGGTATTAATGGCGAGATATCCTAGTGGTTATAATACTCGACTCACGTGAGGTACCATTACTTCTTGAATCGTCATCGTGATAAGCCGCCGCCATATTGAATTGTGTAGTCTGCAACGAGAAGAAAACACGAACTTACACGTGTATATTGCATGTCCATAAAACTCTTTAGTCATACATTTCCCTGAAATCGTCATTCTGTTCAATATGAGGTTATAGATATGTATGTTATATGCATGTGTTCTTTTAACATTCTTGTTAATTTTAATCGTCAGCATAAACATCTTGTTTTGTACCTTATCGGCTAATATCAATTTGCCATTTTTTTTGTGCCTACATAAAAACGTTAAAACATTGTGTCAGTATTAAACATTACCGAATGATTTTTTTAAATAATTCATGTCTATTAAATTGAGTCATACACAAAATTTGACATTGTAGATATATGAATCTCTTAATATGTTAAGATTTGTTTTACGTATTCAAAATAAAACGTTCACGTAGATTTCTCTAAAATGTTCGGTGAACCTTATTTTGATTTCTTAAAATCAAATTTCTTTTGCTTTTTCTATTTTGTATAACGTAAATCTTGCAGAACAAATCTTATTATATTGCAGATTCAGAATTTCACAAAAGAAAGCAAACGTGTCAATCAATATATGTAGTGCTATGTATCTAAAATATGAACGATGTTTCTCGCTAATAGCATGAACATTATGATAATTAAATTACCCACTTAATGATTTTGCACATGAACCTTTCTTCGCTTTACATTACATTTGTTATATCAAAGATTTACTTTATGCATAAACAATGTACGTATCAAACGTTTCCAGGCCGACTGGTCCCTTCGTAATAGCTTGACAAAGGGTCCAGTTGGTCATGAAACATTGCAACACGCTTGATACGTACATTGTTTATGTATAAAGTAAAACTGTGATATCACATATTTCCAAACTTATGAATCTTATTGAACACAAAACATATAAATTTTCTCTAAATTTTCTCCCATTTTTTTTAATCTACATCCTCCCTTTTAAGATATTTCACCTAAATCAATTGCTACAGAAAACTTTACTATTTTTATTTCTTAGAGAAGTTTATGAACAGCTTCAAGCGTGTTTTATAACCACATTGTTAATACATATACATTCGTTGGTTGGCTTGTGCGGTACACTACAGGTACTACATATGTAACTAACTTACCTGTTGGTGCGATTTCACTTCAGTATGAAAGCAATTCAATCACATTTTCTCCTGCAACATAACTCTCCTGTTCACTAGAAAACTTTAACATAAAATGGCTAAGTATCTATACTGGCATGTCCTCACTGTTATAGTGTTTATCAAGGTCGTACGCTTCGCGAGAACTAAAGTGTTGACATTATTTCTGCCGCCAACCCTTTGTTTGTTCTGCTGGAGAATGGCTTTTTCTATAGCATGTGGACTTTGTGATAACGCGTCTAATTTATCTTCAACATACTATCTGGGACTATTCACAGAAAATAAAGGTATCGACCGGTTCCCTGTGTCTAACCAACGATCGTTTGGGTATCAGACGATAACCCAGACCTAACGCTATGAATGTAACTCCCTTCTTGGGAAGTTGTTTCCTACAAACAGAACCTTACACTATTTACTGTTTTTATTTGTGTAGTGTTTCCTTTGTTAAAAAAGGCAATGTTCGTGGTTTCAAGATTGATAAATTTGGAATAGAACACGATTAGAAACATTCAACGTCGTGTTAAATTCCGGATCAAAATTACCGTGAAAATTTCGAAAATTAAAATGGCTGCTATTATAACCTTAAATGTATTAGTGCTAGTGCTATGAGCGCTGTAACTCGATTATATTTTAAAAGATATATACATGTATATAATCGCGTTAGTAGAAGAAGAGAGTCAGAAACTATTTAACGTTATTGATAATATTTATTTACTTTTTTTAGAAAGCGGGGTATATAGAAAACCGTCTTGTAACTTGGACACTTTTATGTCATTGACTGAGGTAGTTTCTTTAAAATATTTTCTGACGGTGAAGCAAATATAAAGGATGAAATATTACGCTTGCAAACGAAAACTCGTAACTGAAACCTAATCACTTATTGTCAGTGGTGTATCAAAATGTGTCATACCGGGATTTTGTATTATGACAAAAAAAAAAAAATTCTTATTACTTTTCACTGGTCATTTTACGGTAGAACATTTTTTATCTCTGAATTATATTTCTGTTATTTAATCTTATACATGAACTTAACTGGGTTTATATACTAAATGCGATATTATTCAATCTCCCCTTTGAAACAAAAAGGGGGTTTATACTATTCCTAAAGAAATGAATGATTTAAAGTAACTTCGATGATATTTACATTACATTTCGAAATCAATTTCCCAATGTTCATGTTTTTATAATGGCTGTGCTGTAAGAGGTCTGTAGTCTAAAGAACCGTGTCACATAATACATATAATGAAAATCACTAATTGTCACGTAATGATATGTTTCGTGCTAATTCGTTTAGATTTTATACAAATTACAATGAGTGTTTTCCTTTCACAAGTTTAAGTGGCACGATAAGAAGTAATAACGTTTAGGTGATTTGATTTAAACATCTTTTATTGCCTTTTTTACATAGCAATGGAATTGGGTACAAGTCGTACAACTTATATCAAGCCCTTTCCCTGTACAATAATAATAATAAAAAATCATGATGGCAGAACTACGAAAACAAGCTATGTATGATAAATTAATTAATAAGTTGACATACATACACCCACAAATTCCGCACCCAACCACACGCATGCGCACAAATATAAACATGCACGTGTAGATAAAGAAAGAGAGATATAGGTCCTATAGCGGGAGGGGAGAGAGGGGGGATAGAGGGAAGAGGGTGTTAGAGAGTCCGATTTTTTAAGATTACTGGATAAGTACTGCAACAATACAGTAAATTTAAGAATATATATATCAGACCACGTGGTTGTTCTTTCTCCATGCGAACGGAACTAACTATACTATTCGCTGTTCACAACTTTCTTTTGATCAAATGCTCATCACTTCCCGTGCTATTTTAATTCACTCCGCTCTTGCTGGTATTTCCGTTTCAACTAATCCGTCCGCACAGATGAACATTGAGCTGTTTAATTTGTATTTCACAACACCAGTAATAGTGTCGTGTTGTCCTTCCAGGTCAGTGGTAGTCTCGATACTTTTGTCATTTGATGCTGTGAGGTTAGTTATAGTTTAATTATTTCTGGCATGTAACAAGAATGAATTTAAATTTCAACAATAATATTTTCGTAAATCTATAAAAAAAATATATATATATCCTTTATAATCGGCTAATAATATGTCTAATATTGTTTCATACACTTAGTCAATGTACCATCGATAAAGAAAAGAAATACTTACAAGCATTCCCATCCATTGTTTCATTTACAAAAACATGTTTTTTGTGTGGCTTGAATGCCTATGTTTGCATTAAAAGAAATGACAAAATCGTAGATTTATGTGTTTTAATCATTTATTGTTGGTTGTAAATAATATTTAAATGGTCCGTAGCAATAACTTTTACATCCATCCCTACAACAGGCCTCGCCTAGCGGGCACGGGTTGTCAAGGTCACACTGAGAGAAACACTTGCCAGCTCCTGGCGGATGTGACGTACGGTCCACGTGAGCACCACACTTTGGAATAATGTCTGTACAACTTGCGCAGTAGCCGTAGGTACAGCATTTCTGATATGGCTTGCAATGATAATCGTTCGCACAGTCGGATATACATCTTAAAGACACATTTCGCTGCGCCAAAAGCGGATGTGGACACAGGCCTGCTCGAGCACGCATGGACGCTGAAATAAAAGAGAAAGCAACGCTATCATTAAGAGTACCGTACAAGTATACTGACGGCAAAACCAGGAAAACATAGCAAAATATAAAGATAACGGTCAAGGTAACATCTTTAACCACAGAAACAGTAGTTGGTTTGTATGCTAAAGAAAGTATCTACTACAGTACCAAAGCTTCATGGATACAAATAAAACAAAATAGTATTTCGCGTACGGTCCAACAAATTGGCTTGTATATAACACGTTTCTTTCTCGCGTGTTTGGTACAAGATTATGAATACAAATATTCGACTGTTAAACGATTTTAGATTATTAACGCCTACAAAACATGAAATAACAACCATTATTTCTTATCTTAAAAGTCATCCACTACGTCGTAAAAAAAAAACACACATAAAACTAAACAAAATTAACCAAATAAACAATAAGGTAACAAGGTCCACCGGAAAGTGAACCCACAATGATGCCTCCAGTGACATCCTGGACACAATTGTGGTGACCTAAAACTTACCGTTCTGTACAATAACCACTAGCATAAATAATGCAAACACAGTCCGAAGAATGGCCTTGATGGTCTTCATTCTTGACCGGATCTGGAAATTAAAAACATGCATTCAGATAGTGTTCAAAATCAAGAGTCAGGTATACAAATGATGTTCAACGAGTAATCGTGAAATACCAGATACATGACTTTTATGACAGATATGTTTAAGAAACTGCCTTTCAAAAGGAAAACATTGATGATTTTTTTTATAATCTTCTCGAGTGTTTTCATAATTTCACGATTACCTACTTTTTTAGAGAATATCAACATTTATTTTGTGTATCATTATCAAGTAATATTTACTGAGCCACTAGTCTGTTTAAAGGTGAGAAAGATATTTCCTGTTCTTGTCTGTTTGCATACATTTGTACATTTCATTTCACATAATAAATTACATGAATATACACATTTTAAATCAAAGTACATGTATTCTCTTTCAAAAGCTAAAAACCCGAACCATAAATTCCTGAACATATTCATTAATCTATGTGAAGTATTATTTTTGCTAATATTTGCTGTTTTAATTAGTCATTAAACAAAATCTGTATCGAGAGTATGATACCTTATTTAATAAGATGTGACAATGTAACATTATGTGAAAATATAAAGTGTAATTGAAATGATAAATCTTGACTTCACTGGTTAAAAACGTAAAGGAAATTGTTTCTTGTGTTGCCAATGAAGTATCATATTTTAAAGTGACAATAACGATAACTAGTTATTTTTCAGTTAACTGACCTATTAGAAAGCCATATTTCATGTGAAAAATAATAAATTATCGAAAAATAATAAACCCTCCTGATTTTATATTTCTAAACATTTTCCTCCTGTTGGTAAGTATGAATACTAGAAAAGTTATGTATCACAACCAGTAAGTGTGAAGTTTCGGTGACTAGTTCAAATAATCACACGTCATTGAAACGTCACACAGACATGCCATTTTTCAACGAGTAATGCAACATGTTCAAAGGACATGTAACGTGATAAAAAAAAGTATTCCTTGATATATATGAGTAACATAATTATATTCCTAGAATATTAATCGTATCATAATGTGCAACTAGTTGTTACGTCATAGGAACACATGCTCGATTACAAGAACGGTGTCAGCGATTGCAGATAGCCCGGGTTTCCTCTGACTTTTACGCCAGATTTAGACATTGGTATCTCTCTGTCAAAATGTCCTCAGTCTGGTGTCGGGGCCAGAGGAAACTTGGGCTACGAATGCAGACAATACTAAACATTTTAGTGACAACTTATCGACGTGAAAATTTCAATATAATTTGACAAAATGTATTTCTGACAATATACGTTATTTGCGTTTTATGGCGGAAATATGTTAATTGGGACGTAGTGTATGATTGAATACCACACTGTTGCGTATGCAATAAAACGTGCACGCATTAACCAAATTTCTGTCAAGTTTATCACAAATTACATATTTGTACCACATGCAAATTATACAATGTCTGCTAAAGTTTTAACTGTTAATTAAATCAAAACTTCCAAATTCATTCAGAATTCCGCATCATGAAATTAAATTAAATGTTTTTTTTATACATACTTTTGACTATTCAGACTTATTTGTGTGTTTCAAGTTGAGAATGGCCGTTTGCATCTTGCTTATGAGAAAGGCCCTTTTCAATTTTATTCTTCGTTTTAATCTGATTGAAGTAAGATTTTTTACTTTGATATTAATTAACGCAAAATGAGTAGTTAAGTATTGCGCAAGAGTTCTGATACATTATATCGGTGAATCCTATGAATATTCATGAGTAAGCTTAGTGCGATGTAGCTATTGTTTCAACCGGATACCATGAACTTGTGCTATTTCAGTTTTTAAAGCCATACATCACCATGCATCATGGTTGCTCCATTACGTAAGCAGCAGTAGCTTTTAATCAGGATATAGCGGTTATTCTAATTCATTTAAATTGTAACACGGTATTTGATTGGCTAAATGACCATGACTGGCCTCGAAACGTCATAAAAATAATACCGTCACGAAAAATTGTTTGACTCTGAATGGTCAATAAAATTCCATCCTAATTTGTTTGTTACTGTCGACACTGACTAATCCACGGCTGAGTAACTCAGATTCCTAAAAACGCACAAAATTGTCCTAAAATCATCGTTCCTTTCAGGGGTTTTAGCTTAAATAAATTAGGGGATTACCCATCTGCTTTGTTTGTAGGTTTTGTTTTTTTCGTCGATATGTCGTAATTATACTGTTGCAAATATCCGTTTTACTGGGAACGCAGATACTAGTACATGACGTCTTTGTTTCATCATCGCAATAACACTATACAAGTCATCCTCGATACTTCAGGGTTTAGCTGAATTTCGTTCTCTGCACGCCTGGAATATGTCATAGCAAAATTAAGGCACGCGGCTAGCTATTTGATTGGTCTCAAATAGAATAAATCTGCCCAACTGCTAAGCTAATACCCGTCCTTTGAAATTTACTGAGTAGTGACCCCGACTTAAAAGCCGGTCAATTTTACCGTTATGCGGCCGACAGATTCTTTTGATGTATATCAAAGGATCAACCTAGTCTCCTCATCTCATCTACAAGGTGGTGCATTCTGAGCCTTCGAATTTGCTATGACATACATTGTATTCAAGGAGTGCAGAGAGCGTAAGTTAGCGTAACCCCTGGAGTATCCGGCTTACCAGAACCCTCCCCTCTGTCTCAGGTTTTTCGCTGCACCCGAGCATGTTCGCATGTTCTGAGTTGTAGGAACCTCGGGTTACCTGCACATTTTCCTAAATTTGACGGGAGATATCACGACAGGTGCTATATATCGGGCATGGCATACTTGCCCTCCTAAACACACATTATTTCGACACATTATTGTTGTGGTGGTTATTTCTTGTTTTGATGCCACTTAAGTTCTTGCTGTTGTATTTGTCTAATTTGTCTGAGTGTTTTGACATGAAATGGTTTCGTCTATTTTGCTTTAGTTCACAAATGCATATTTATTTGTGTCAATTGTTTGATAAGAATCATAGAAATATATAGTTAATCTAAAAATCCTGAAATGTAACTAGTATGTTTTTCTTCTTTCATTTCCTGTGTAGGCATATTGTTAACAATAGTTCTGTACCCTAACTACCAAAACATAGGACATGAACGACAAACGATATACCTGTATTGTACACGAGTAGAAACCAAAGAAAAAAATTCGTAAGTAATAAGATCGTAGGCATTAATCACGATATGTCAGGTTTTTCTATCAAAATGATTTCAATCTACGCTACAAAATTGTTTTTAAATATCCTGATTAACACCTTTTTACATGTCTGTCTTTATCAACAATTAGGTTGCATCGTTTTTTTACCGATATTTCATTTCCTGGAGTTGACGGGAGACATTTAGATGGGTGTCAGGAGTATCTGATTTAAACCATGGCGTGTCATGATGCTAGATTTTACGTCTCACATTTTCCTGTTACCCACAGTTGTTATTTCGTTTTGACATTGATCTCTATAAGTACGTGACTTTTTTCGAATCTATTGTTATCTAATAAACTTTATTTTCTCCCTGCTTTATCATAACAGTATAAAGATTTCATAAATTAACACTGCTAAACGTGAGTTTATCCATCGTTCCTTAATAGTAGAAACGTTCACATATTTACTAAACGTGTTTTTATCCCCACGTTGTGATTATTGTATTAGCTCTCATATCAACCCTACTAACGGTAATTTACCCTTGTGTAATTATTGCGTTAGCTCTCATATCAACCCCACTAAAGGCAATTTACCCCTGTGTAATTATTGCATTAGCTCTCGTGTCAACCCCACTAAAGGTAATTTACCCCTGTGTAATTATTGCATTAGCTCACATGTCAACCCCACTAAAGGTAATTTACCCCTGTGTAATTATTGTATTAGCTCTCATATCAACCCCACTAAAGGTAATTTACCCCTGTGTAATTATTGCATTAGCTCACATGTCAACCCCACTAAAGGTAATTTACCCCTGTGTAATTATTGTATTAGCTCTCATATCAACCCCACTAAAGGTAATTTACCCCTGTGTAATTATTGCATTAGCTCACATGTCAACCCCACTAAAGGTAATTTACCCCTGTGTAATTATTGTATTAGCTCTCATATCAACCCCACTAAAGGTAATTTACCCCTGTGTAATTATTGCATTAGCTCACATGTCAACCCCACTAAAGGTAATTTACCCCTGTGTAATTATTGTATTAGCTCTCATATCAACCCCACTAAAGGTAATTTACCCCTGTGTAATTATTGCATTAGCTCACATGTCAACCCCACTAAAGGTAATTTACCCCTGTGTAATTATTGTATTAGCTCTCATATCAACCCCACTAAAGGTAATTTACCCCTGTGTAATTATTGTATTAGCTCTCATGTCAACCCCACTAAAGGTAATTTACCCCTGTGTAATTATTGTATTAGCTCTCATATCAACCCCACTAAAGGTAATTTACCCCTGTGTAATTATTGTATTAGCTCTCATGTCAACCCCACTAAAGGTAATTTACCCCTGTGTAATTATTGTATTAGCTCTCATATCAACCCCACTAAAGGTAATTTACCCCTGTGTAATTATTGTATTAGCTCTCATGTCAACCCCACTAAAGGTAATTTACCCCTGTGTAATTATTGTATTAGCTCTCATATCAACCCCACTAAAGGTAATTTACCCCTGTGTAATTATTGTATTAGCTCTCATGTCAACCCCACTAAAGGTAATTTACCCCTGTGTAATTATTGTATTAGCTCTCATATCAACCCCACTAAAGGTAATTTACCCCTGTGTAATTATTGTATTAGCTCTCATGTCAACCCCACTAAAGGTAATTTACCCCTGTGTAATTATTGTATTAGCTCTCATATCAACCCCACTAAAGGTAATTTACCCCTGTGTAATTATTGTATTAGCTCTCATGTCAACCCCACTAAAGGTAATTTACCCCTGTGTAATTATTGTATTAGCTCTCATATCAACCCCACTAAAGGTAATTTACCCCTGTGTAATTATTGTATTAGCTCTCATGTCAACCCCACTAAAGGTAATTTACCCCTGTGTAATTATTGTATTAGCTCTCATATCAACCCCACTAAAGGTAATTTACCCCTGTGTAATTATTGTATTAGCTCTCATGTCAACCCCACTAAAGGTAATTTACCCCTGTGTAATTATTGTATTAGCTCTCATATCAACCCCACTAAAGGTAATTTACCCCTGTGTAATTATTGTATTAGCTCTCATGTCAACCCCACTAAAGGTAATTTACCCCTGTGTAATTATTGTATTAGCTCTCATATCAACCCCACTAAAGGTAATTTACCCCTGTGTATTTATTGTATTAGCTCACATATCAACCCCACTAAAGGTAATTTACCCCTGTGTATTTATTGTATTAGCTCACATATCAACCCCACTAAAGGTAATTTACCCCTGTGTAATTATTGTATTAGCTCTCATATCAACCCCACTAAAGGTAATTTACCCCTGTGTAATTATTGTATTAGCTCTCATATCTTTCCTAAACGTAATGTTCTCCCTGCTTTTTATAGTTGTAGTTATCTAATTTACTACATGTAAATTCTCCCTACCTTATCATATAAGTAGCTCTCTAATATAACCTCTACTACATGTACTTTTCTCCCTACCTTATCATATAAGTAGCTCTCTAATATAACCTCTACTACATGTACTTTTCTCCCTGGGTTATCATATAAGTAGCTCTCTAATATAACCTCTACTACATGTACTTTTCTACCTACGTTATCATATAAGTAGCTCTCTAATATAACCTCTACTAAACATTATCGTTGTCCTACCTTACGTTATTACAGTCAGAGCTCTTATGTCTTAATTCTACTTAATGTAATTGTCCCTCAACGTTATGGTAGTAGTAAACTGTTTATATAATAGATTAAAGATTTGATTTGAACTGGAGAATTCGACAATCTGAATAATATGATGTTAGAGTGGTGACGATCGATAGACTTTGTTTATAACTGACTAATCAAGTAATTCATAGTTGGAAGAAAAGACTGGATAAGTTCTGGTCAAACCAGCAATAATCATACGATGACTTTAACACATCTGTTAGAAATGATAGCCAATCTAAATGGCCTGGTACCCCAGAGACATTATGGTACTATATCAGAAATGCATCCATCAGTTTTTTAATCACTATGGAAATCAACATAAACAAAATTACGGAATTTTTAAGTTTGAAATAATTCTAATCAATATATCAATATATCATTTGCGTATTTTGTTCTGCATAATATCAGCTGCAAACATTCAATATGTAAAAGATAGCATATATTCACTAAATTGAAAGTAATCTTGTCACAATGGATAACAATCTTGTAACATAATTTCCTTTATCGCATCGCATACAGAATTCTCAAAATATTATCAATGTATTGGCAAGCGTCAGTTTATCATATTTGTAACAATATGTTTTCTATGAAATTACAGTAGTTTAAGTAAAATGAAGTGAGTAACGTTACCTGTCTGTCAAGTCAGGTGTTGGGCGCAGCTACTACACGTATGAACTTCAGTATGGTTATATATAGCTGTATTAGAATTAATGTATATGTTAATTAGAGGTTAAATCAATTACAGTCGCTTAGATTAGGTAAAAAGACTACACGTTATTATAGAATATGGTTGGTCACCTTGTCAAAGCGTCATGGTCTGCGTGCTATAAGCATTGTTAGCTTGATAAACAATAAACTGAATTTTGATATTTAAAATTATATACTTCTAAATATGTACAAGAATTAAAATAAACATTAAGTTTTAGGTATTTCAACATCTCATTTTATTGCTTTAACTTATAATTTGTTTAAAAGATCATGTCGAAAGTAAAATTTCGTTCTTGCTGTTAAGTTTAGTATGCTTTTAAAACCTGTTCGTGATGATTTAAAATATATGAGAGACGTTTATCCTCAACACGTTCTCTTGAGGTTTGGAACCAGGTGAGATGTGATATTCACCTGATGTATCGTGTGGCTGACAGGTCGCCATGTTTTACTATAGAGTATGAACTTGACTTCAGGTTCAGGTTCAATATGTATATACGCACAGGCGTCCGTAAAGTACTAGTGGTGTGCGTGTATAGGAAATGCCGCTAGCAGGTCTGGGTGCAGTGTTACGTCATTGATTAAACATTCTTTTCGTTAATGATTCTTTGTTATAAAATTATTAACTTCATTCATTTTCATTTTATGTATTACTTAGCATGCACTATCAATCTACAGAAGAGAGATGTCACGTTATGACAGGTGAATTTGTTAGGCCTTCTTTTCATTGATGATTGTCACAAAATCTATCAACTTTCTCTCTTTTTTCATTTTATATATTTATGTATTGCTTAGCATATTTATCTATTTACATAAGTAAGATATCACGTCCTGTGTGTTCGACAAACTGCGTAAACTGATTTTAGACCGTTTACCATTCTTTTCGTTAATGCTTCTTCGTCACAAAATGTATTAACCCCTTCTTTATACATTTTCATTTTAATGTAGTACTTAGCATACATCATCTATCTACATATGTATAATGTCACGTTCTGACGTTTGCTCGACAGAATTTTATAACATTGATTTTAGACCGTTAACAATTTTTTCGATACTGATTTTTTTGTCACAAAATCTGTTAGTTTCTTTCATCGTCTTGTACTCCATGGTAAACATCATCTGTCTATATTTGTAAGATGTCACGTTATGACGTGTGAAATGGATTTTAGACCGCTAATCGTCCCTTTCGGTGCGTATTCTTTGTCACCAAATCTGTTTACTTCCTCCATTTTCATTTTTGTGTTACTTGCATTCAACGTGTTTGCATATGTCAGATGTTACATTCTGCGGTGTGAAATTGTGTGAAATTGACTTTAGACCGTTAACAGTTATTTTCTGTACTGATTCTTTTTCTGTACAGATTCTTTGTCACAAAATTTATAAGCTTCATTTTTTTCATTTATATAGTACTTAGCAGATAATAACTATCTACGTATGTAAAATTTCTTATCCTGACGTGTGTTCGACAAAATTTTATTAAACTGATTTTATACCGATTATAGTTTTTCGATACTGATTCTTTGCCACAAAATCTGTTAACTTCCTTCATTTTATGTATCACTCAGCGTACATTAATTGTCTACATATGTAAGACTTAACGCTCTGGCGTGTGACATTGTATGAAATATATTAAGACCGCTAACTGTTCCTTTCCATACAGATTCGTTCTCACAAAACTTCAATTGTTTTCATTTTTGTGGTTTTTGCATTCACCATAATTATGTTTGCATATGTAAAATTGTTTTAAATGGATTTTAGACCATTAAGTGTTCCTTTCCATACCGATTCGTTGTCACAAAATCTATTAACTTAATTCTTTTTGTGTATTACTTAGCATGAATTATCTGTCTACTTGTGTAAAATATCAGGTTCTGGCGGGTGAAATTGTGAAAATGATTTTTAGACCGTAAACCATTCAATTAATACCATTCCTGTTAATTTTTGATAACTTTTTAAATCAGGAAATTGCCACGCGGTCTATTGTTTACTAACTAAAATTGGTCTTTGAGGTTACTGAACATTGAGAATTTGAAAGGTCACTAACATGGTTTGAACATCTGACGTTATTGTGTGTCTGTATCGGGGCAGATTATATGAGTTAAAGGTGAATTCGTTTTCGATTGCACATTCGTATAGTCAAATCGGTGAACGTGAAAACTTGCCAATATTTAAAAAGACATGCGTGTATCGGTAACCACATAAAATGGCTACATGAGATTTTGCGCTTTTGAACAATTCAAGGAAAATATTTCAATTTATAAAAAGTAAAAGAAGTAAATTTTAAAAAACAATCTTTGATATATTTATTATATATGTTAATATATAGTGGACATGGATATCTATCCTTCAATTAATTCTTTACATTTGTACAGATGTACAGAGAGTTTGATAACAGAAACAAAATGAAATATACGATAGAATAGTCTGTCCTTGTCTAAAATAATCTAAAAAATCTGTCCTGAAATTAAACGGAAACAGAAAATTCATGCCAATTTCCTTGTTTGTTTTTGTATTTCATGGCATCACGTTCGGTAGTATTGTTTACGTTGTTGACAGAAACTGGGTGTCGGAACGTTGGTTACAGAAACAGGGTGTCGGAACGTTGATTACAGAAACTGGGTGTCGGAACGTTGGTTACAGAAACTGGGTGTCGGAACGTTGATTACAGAAACAGGGTGTCGGAACGTTGATTACAGAAACTGGGTGTCGGAACGTTGATTACAATACCCTCATTGTATTTAATACAATGGCACTTTACGTGGCTTTGATGGCAAGCTGGATTCGTTAAATATATGAAGTAACTTTATTCCTGCATTAGAGTTTCGTAAACATAATTGAATAAATACATAGTCAGACTGTGTCACAAACAGATCAATTGTCATTATGGATATCAATTCTAGTCCGGTATCAATTGTCATTATGGATATCAATTCTAGTCCGGTATCAATTGTCATTATGGATATCAATTCTAGTCCGGTATCAATTGTCATTATGGATATCAATTCTAGTCCGGTATCAATTGTCATTATGGATATCAATTCTAGTCCGGTATCAATTGTCATTATGGATATCAATTCTAGTCCGGTATCAATTGTCATTATGGATATCAATTCTAGTCCGGTATCAATTGTCATTATGGATATCAATTCTAGTCCGGTATCAATTGTCATTATGGATATCAATTCTAGTCCGGTATCAATTGTCATTATGGATATCCATTCTAGTCCGGTATCAATTGTCATTATGGATATCCATTCTAGTCCGGTATCAATTGTCATTATGGATATCCATTCTAGTCCGGTATCAATTGTCATTATGGATATCCATTCTAGTCCGGTATCAATTGTCATTATGGATATCCATTCTAGTCCGGTATCAATTGTCATTATGGATATCCATTCTAGTCCGGTATCAATTGTCATTATGGATATCAATTCTAGTCCGGTATCATTTTTCCTAGCTACTATTAAAAAAATAGATAAATGGATAAAAATAAAAGTAATTATCTCTGTGCCTATGGACTCGTTCGGATGCAGGTTTGCAATAAGGAGTGGATGTTTATTTTATTGGATTTTATATCTTTCATATTGAAATACAAGCCACAGCTGCTGTACTCAGAAATGTAATTTTCATCAAATGATACAATAATTTGTTTACGAAAAAGTCTACAACATGAAGCAATGGAGATTTTCCCAATAATATTCTTAAAAACACTTCGTGTCATAGAGGTTCTGAATACATCTGATGTGCGTCATGTATGAATCATGGAGTGTGTGATAAGGTTAAGGTTGGAAATAATTGCTCATCGTTTAAATATAACACTCCATATTTGTAGTAAGGTGGTGAAAATAGATAACATTTTCGTCTGATTTGAAAGCAATATCTTCGAATAATTTCTAACTATGTGCGTTATAATATTCTTACATGTCCGCAACTCATGATTTTTACATTACTTGGTTTGCAATTTAGTCATATCTTGATCTTGTCTTGTTTGCTGTCACTTCCTTGATCAATATCAATAAGGACTCTGGACAACCTTTAACCTTAGTATGAAATTACTAATGATTGTACACACACAAGTAAATAGTTACACAACTCATAATTAAAAACATAATGTCGGTTTATTCTCAGACTTTGGGTGATCGTAAGATTTTTTTGGGGTTTTTTATTTTTTGATTATTTATTCAACAAAATGTAACATATATTGCCTTCAAGCTATCTATTTCGCTACCCATTCCGACAAGGAAAGAGAAACCATTAGAAGAGCAGAGTGGGACATAGTGAAAATTATCAACGTTTGCGCTTTTGAACTGACATTAAAAGCAAATATTGATAAGAAACAGATTTTAGTTATAGGAAACCTATTCATAGATTACCAAATGATAAGTTTCCATGATAAATTTTGGAATTATGTCTTACAAGGATGGCGTAAGGTGAGTGAAGGGGGAAACAGTAACCGGAAAATATTTGTTACTTCCAGTATTGTGCAATAATACAACCGAAATAGGTGACGACACGTCCCTTATTTTACAGGGCTGGAAAAGGGGGTGTAATTCATAAATGGTATAATTCACGAAAAAAAAAATTCTTCCATCTGAAGACAAAACATAATTTCCCTCAAAGTTAATTGATAACAACGAAATAATTCTGTAATTTAGAAACTAGATTTTAATTTGAACAATAAACTACATTTACTTATGTGGCATGTCAAACGTTGCAATATTCAATAATTTTATATTGCGACGTTTGACACGCCATATACAATCCAACATATACTTTGAGATACCATCCAACATATACTTTGAGATACCATCCAACATATACTTTGAGATACCATCCAACATTTACTTTGAGGTTGCACTTGTGTTGCAAAGGATATTTTTCTGAAATTTTAACGTTGGCTGCAAAATACATGAAGCATCCCACTTAACCTGACCACACTACTTAACACAATGTAAAGAGCAAATCTGAAAAGTATAATTTTGAATACCAAACATGTAGACAACAATTTACATTCAAAGTACTTACCTTGATCGCATAATTTAAAAAACAAAACTCTATAATCTAAAGAATACTTAGCCAAAACAAAACAAAAACAAAAAATATTTGTACGATAGTTTTGTTGTTAATTCCTTTCACCAGCTGCTGGCCAAGTTAAAAATTATACATTTAAATCTTTTTTTTAAACGTGATTTATACATCTGCACTAAATCCTAAATGTATTACCGGAAAAAGTCTCTTTCTTACCTCCTTTTGTTGTTTTCGGCTTCCATCGCTTCCCTTGTTTCTACTTTACTTAGCTCTTCACTTAACCATGTCACCAGCTACATTCAGCCTACCCTTTTCAAGTAATACCAGTAAACTACAATACTAAAAACAACGCCCTATACTATTTGGTCCGATATGTAACTGAGCCTATAATTATCACCCTAATTAAGGCAGCATTGAGCTAAGCAATTGCTAACTAAAACTGTCTTCACATAAACATTGTGTAGGTATCTGGCTTCAATAAAAACAAAATAAGGATGAGGATTGGTTTTAGAAGAAAAATAATCCTAGCTGGCGTTCTTGTCTAGCTTAACTCGTACTGTCTGCTATCCCTCCACTGATGTTGTGATGTGTTATTATTGGATAGTAGTAGAGACATTATTCACAGAAGCCTATATATATAGCTACTGCATTTGCTGATGTATGTTTTGGAATATTTGATGGAAAGTAAAGCTATCAGTATATGCTCATTTTCCGTACGGCCATCGGGTCCATATGGAACCGAGTTGGAATAGTATAGGGAATCAAGAACTTCTACACTTGGTATTGTTAACGAGATTATGTTGATTCAACACGATGTATGCAACATTTGCTTCAACAGTCAATTTGCAAGTTATACCACGGAACTATCTAAGTCCGTGGTTATACCAATAATTCCTTCTGAACATTTTGCAAGTTTTCGTGGTGAAATTATAACCAATGCTATGTTGATAGATTTGTATTGAAATTTATTTAGTTGTTAAAATGGGCCAATTAGTGCCTTGCCCTCATGCGTTTCTGTCGACCACAGACTTTGAGTAAAATGTTTTTTGAAAAGCATGACAACCGTTACGGACTCGTTAGAAATCAGCACAAAAGTATGATCCAACATAATTTTACCGTAAAAGTTTATCCTGTATAAAAAAATACCCACAGAAACTACAATAAGTCTGCTACAATGGTGCGATACCTGCGTATATGAATTTGTATTAATATTCTGATCAACAATTAAGGGGAGTAACTCTTTCAACCTAATGCAATGTATAAACCGTTGTTCCACTGACAACTTATAATAATCAAATTAGAGAGATTAATTCAATTGATCTTACTTACGATATACGGCAGTAAATATCCATCTATAACTACGGTTGTTGCCGGTTGTTTACTATTTTCACAAAAACTTTTAAAGAAGGCCTAATTTATCTCGGAAGTTCGTGTAAATGCGTGACGTCGCTAAAGTTCTATTAAAAGTCCAGGTAAGTTCCTAACCCCTGCAGACACTTCATTCCATGACAAAAAAAAAACCATTATGATGAATATATATTTTCATTATTAAATTTTGTTGATAACATGTAATTTTTGTTTCGCTATATCAGTGTGTGTATACAGGCAGATAGAACTTTTCCTGAATACCTGACACTGTTAGCTAAACTATATAAGCATTTTTTTTAATCAATGTTTACTAAATATCTGCCATAGGGCGTGCGTCGGTATGTTTTTTTCGCCTCAAGAATTTCATTTTGTAATGCACGACGGAAATTTCAAGCTAAGACCGGTTTTAAAATTGTATTATAATGAAAGAAATGTACCCGTTAAATAATTCACCATATCTTGCAGACCATATGCGAAAATGATGACAATATTGAAACCACAGACTCATAAAGTAGCATAAATATCCGACTATAACTATGTTTGGAGCCGGTTATTTATTATTTTCACAAAAATGTAATATTTCGCAAACTTTTCGTAAGGCCACATTTTAAAAGTAATTTATCTCGGTAATGTTTGTAAATTGGTGACGTTGATCTAACCAGAGACTTATATACTGGCTTTAATATATATATATATATCTGCTCTAATTAAAGTTCTATCAAAATTCCACGTAACTTCTGCTGACATTTATTTCTATGACATAAAAACTGAATGAACCATATATAATACGAATGCATATGGTTTAAATATCTGGCAGACTATCGTCGTTAATTGAACGTAAGAAGGGATACTTTTTCGGTATAAATACAACAATCTCTTGCAAATGATGCAAAAAGTTAACAAATATGTCTTTTATTGCAGCAGGTGGACTGCCGAGGATCGTCGCAATTTGCACCTCCCTACATGAGTTAGCAAGAACAACATACACATGCACCGGATAATCGTTGACTATCTTGGTGAAAAGTTCATCACGTAGAGTTAGCAACGTGGGACTACGGCAGTCTAATAACAATGCGCAACTGCATCTTCTACAAAGATATTGCACTGGGCACATGATAGTTAGGTCACAATTAGGTGAAATCCCCAATGCTTTGCAAAGTTTTTTGCATGTTGTGTTGAGATCAGGGCAAACATTTGGATAGGTACCATAGTGGCGAAGGGCTGATCTCGCACTGTAGGTGTTTAAATCTTAAGAACTCATCACAAGCATTGAGACGTTCACTCCTGTGCGAGGAGTACTTGCCTAATACGACACCTTTTGTGAAGTGTTTCCAATAGTTTTTAACCGAGAAAAACCCAGATTGCAAAAATTGGTACAAAAAGTCTTGTAGATCATATTGGTGAAGCATGTTCCAGATGTCTCGAACAAAGCCTTTTCCGTTACAACAAATGCCAAACTATTCATGAAAATAATCGAAGTAAGAACAATCTCTTTGTTGTAAAACGTGCATCTGTTCTGCATAAAGCAGAAAAGAATCGAAGTTTCGATAACTCAATGTTTAGACGTATGGACGTAAGTCCAACCATACTAAGGACAATATCTGATCTAGTGCGCCGCGGAAAACGTTGAATAAGCTTTGCACACAAATGATGAACTCTTTCAATGCGATTCCATTCGGTCTCGGAGAGTGAATACCATGCAGAGTTCACAGCCAAAAAGACTACATGGCATTACAATTGTTTTATACATCTTAGCACCGGTCAAAGGGTTGATTCCAGTACCAAATAAGTTTCAGTTAAGCAAGGCAAAACATTGACCACGTAGCTTGTGAACAATCTCATTGACATCTGGACAGCCTGGTTTGAACTTGTCCAAAAAGATACCGACATGTTTACAATATCTAGATTCAGGGAGAGCTTTGTTGCCGAGACCCCATCTGTGTGTGATCTTTGAAAAGACACTTTTGCTTTCATTAAAAACAATTACGATAGATTTTGATGCGTTGTAACTAAATCGCCACTTACAACTTACTGTAACTGTAGCAGATGTCCATGAGACAGTCCAAGCCATGTTTACAAAGAGACAGAAGGGTAATATCATCTGCTTGAGTTGAACAAGTAACATTTACACCATGTATAAGTAAAGAGTACTGTGAAGCACATTACTCATCCAGTAAATCATTAATAAAAACTGTATACAGCCAGGGAGAAATAATGCTTCCCTGACGCGTACCTTGGCATATCTTAAGCCAGTTAGAAATAAAACCTTGGTGCAATACTGCGCTGTACATATTTGAGTATAATGAAACAATGATATTGATATACTTTGACTTTAGACCTAAACTGTGAAGTTTGAAAAACAGGCCGTTATGCCTAACACAGTCAAATGCTTTGGCAGCATCAAGAAAACGTGTAAAAAGTTTACTGATTCATGGACTAGAAATGACGTCATAGTGCTACTTATATTCTTTTGAAATCCATTCTGTAAGGGGTTAGGTATAAACAAGTTTGTATCCTCAAGTCTGATAAGTGATAATTTCTCAAAGACTTTCAGAATCACTGGCAACAGAGAGATAGCACGATAACAATTGGGGTCACTCTTTGGCTTGTTATGACCTTTGTATAGTGTACAGATCAAACCCTTTGTGAGTACCGGAGGAACATACTCCAATCTTAAAAAAAGCGTTAAAAAGAATATACAAACAGTTGTACACAGTGTCGTGGGTATAGAGTAAATGCTCGTACACAATTTGATCGTGCCCAGCTGCTTTACCACTTGGTAAACTTTTACATTCCCTTTTAACGTCAGATATAGAAATTTCATCAAAACATTCATTGTTCACTATATGATTGGATAGAATATTGGCAACAGATTATTGATTTGGTCTTCAAAATTAGCGTCAAAGCATGAAAACCCTATGGGTAAATATGACAAAAAAAAATTATACCGCGCAGAGACGCAAAAAGTAGCAAATTATATTCGTCTCTGGTTTAAATAATGACCATATAAAAATTCAGCAAATATAAAGAACTGCATAAAAAGTTAAGTGAATCAGTGGTAAGAAATTGTGTCGTGTATTGCATTTAGCCTAAATCCGAGACACCGCTGGGTTGCAATTTAATGAGAGTCGTTATATGTAAAGGATAGCACTTATATCAGAGTGCGCCCCCAAGCAACAGCGACTACAGCTGGTCAACTTTTTTCACAGTTACTTCCCTTATAACTGTCGGCTTCCGGGATACGTTGTACACAGCCGGGATGACAGCGTAAAGGGGTTGGGGAGAAAGACCTATCTTATGATGAATATCTTTATATCGGGATTTGCTCTGTTGAGTGTATTATGTATAATTCTGTTTGTTTACACGCGCACGTCCCTGCCGTCCGTCGGAGATGCCAGCTTCAAGCAGTTTCAGAGGATCTACCTTGTGGTCTATATGTTGGCTATGGGTGAGTGCACATGAATTTGACGAGTTAATTCTTGCATACTTTTTCAATTTTGCCCAATTACTAATGAGCCCCTGGGGCTAGCAACGATAAATAAAGAACAAAATATTTATTCAATATGTATACAGTAGTTGTCAAACCCTGTAATTGAACAGGGGCCATTATGTTGTAGAGAACATATTCTTGCAACAATGTACAAATGGAGTGATGACTGGCTACTGAAATGCAACCGGATACTATTTCAAAATTAAATGCGAACACATGCACATCGAAAATTCCGTAATACACAAAAGGGTTAGCCCGGTTAGATAGGGATAAACAGATAGTCATCGAATTCGAATACTGAAAAGGACAGGTCCAGTACACTCTGTCAAATGAGCTATATAGCTATAAAGACCTATATAGCTATATACACCTATAAATTATAGCTGTATTGAGCTATATTTTCTAAGATTTCAATTTTCATTAAATTAAAAAAAAGTCGCATATAACAATAAGGTTTATGGTAATGTTGACTACAAAAAGCATACAGTTAGATGTTTATTTTCATTTTTCATAAATGTAAAATTTCCGATTTTTTTACATCATTATATTTTTTAAAGAATCCTTATATGTAATGTCTTTTGTTATCAACCTAATGATACAGTCTTCTTTTAAAAGCGACTTTGTTTCGTTTTCCTTAAAAAAGAAAATCACTTGAAAATAGCTCCAAAGAGCTATTTCAGATAGGTCAATAGAGCTATTATAGGTCTTTACAGCTATATAGCTCAATCGGCAGAGTGTACTGGACCTGAAGGATATTCAAGAGTTTTTGTAGATCAAGATCTTATTTTTGCCAATCATATCAACATGTGAATTATTCAGTTTATGGACCAGAAATGATTTATACTGTTATACAAATGTCTTGTCCAGTCCCATCTTCATTATATCCTAACACCAGACTTAGACATTTTGACATAATAATATTTATTCAGGTAAAAGGCAAATAATACACTTCTATCACATTTTGCAGATTGGACATATATATGTATATTATCACAGAATGAGATCTTTTTAAATAAGTTATTTATGCCATAAGATTAGAAGTCAGTCAGGTGTTAAAACCGGATTGGATTAGATTAATTTAGGCCTTTACCTGGGATGACCCATAAAGCCACATTGTGGCTTAATTCCATTGGGGTCCCTTAGATCTAAATAAATCAATTCAATTCATAAAATAGCTACATAACTACATAGTATATATTGATAACTTGATACGACTCTTAAGACACTTCTTTTATAAAAAATAGATATAAAATGTTACATGTGCCATAGGCTATGATCAATAAAGTAATGCTGGTAAAGAGAGTAGCAATATATTGGAATTTTAGCAATCAAAGATATATAGTATTAACTTCAAATGTTACCTGCCAAAGGGCTGGTGGTTGGGTCAATCCCTACTGACCATACTCTCAGACATTAACGTGAAGGGGGGGGGGGGGGGGGGGGGTGTTAGTAATAGTTTGAAGATTGTTTACCTATTATATAGTAACATACACTACTACTGAGCTGTATTTGGAGAAAGTTCTGATTCAGTGTTGGTCATATCAACTCTGGCCACCTTTAGGAACTCTCTCCCTTACAGAGCCAGAAATAGTATATTCTAAATATATATAATTGATTATAAGTAGGTATATGTACTGGTATATAACTTATACTGGTAATAAAAATCTGACACAACATAAAAAAATGGAATGGAAATTATTGAATAAAATGTCAGATGATGGGCCCAGAGCACACTGCTTTATTATGTGAGTCCAAATTGGTTTCCTTATAGATAAACATATATTGATGTAATTTAAAAATAATAATAAAAATGTACAACAACACTCCACTAGATGCTTACTAGAACTGAAAAACATACGATAAAAAGCTTCAAAAACAATTTTCTACATTGCCATCCATGCATTTTGGGGTAGCTTAGTTTTATAAAAAAAAATGTGGTGTATAATATAAAAGAATGTTGTACAGTTTTTACTTTCATCAAAAATGCTGTCTGATATATCTGTGGCAGATTTTAATTGTACACAGCATTACGGTTGTCTTCTACTTTTGCGCTAGAGGGAATTTCCCTTTAGCTCAGTGGTAGAGCGTCCAACTAGGGAGTCTGGGATCGCTGGTTCGATCCCTGGTGTCTGTATAGGCCCTCTCTGTGGTGAAAGGAAATTAATAGTTAATACCTGGGATGTGCAGGTGTTAAGGGCGAACACATTTAAAAAACAAAGAAGGAGGGTTTAGCGTGTCAGATTTTAATTGTACATATCATTACGGTCGCCTTCTACTAGCTTTGCACTAGAGGGAATTTCCCTTTATCTCAGTGGTACTGTTGGTAGAGAGTCTGAGATGGCAGGTTCGATCCCTGGTGGAAACAAATTTGGAGCAATTTTTGGTAATAAAAACATTTTTTTTTACAATAACTCAAAATAACAATTCATATTTTGAAATCCTTCCACGATATGAATGTGGCAGGATTTAATTGTACAAAGAATTAAGGTCGTCTTCTAGATTTGAGCTAGAGGGAGTTTCCCTTTAGCTCAGTGGTAGAACGCCTGTGAACCTGGAGATCGAGGGTTTGATCCCCGGTGGAAGCACACTATTTTCTTTTCTCTAACCGAATTTGCTTCATCATTACAACCACAAAGAAACATCTGTTTACATTAATTATCCTGCTGACGCTACATGTATGTTTGTTTGAATCGTTTTACATCTGTTTCACTACCGAATAATTCGGTTATCCAGCAGAATAAAATCTTATGTCACAGAAAAGGGAAGCTTATATATATATATATGGCCTCCAGTCCTTTACATACCCTACTTTGATAGATGGACTGAAATTTGTCATATTACAGGTATGACACTAAAGTCATCTATATAAAGCAACTCGAAACTCCTTTTCTTACCTAATTAAACAAATTGTGGGCCCTCTCTGTCAATTTATTAAGCACCCTGGGTGCTAATTATGGCAAATATGTTACAAATGTACATTTCCTATTTTCCCATAGCAATATTTCCTTATAATTTGCATGATATGGTATAGTAGTTATGCATCGACAGGTTTGATGAAGTGAAGATGGTTTATAAAAATCTCATCTTGGTTAACAATTTCTTTTGATTTTTTTTTAGATTTATTTGCAGATGAATCACTAGCAAATTATCATGCAATGACAAACTCTGCTTACCTGTATAATTAATGACTGTGTACCTGAACTTCACACCAAATTTAAAAATTCAATTGAAACTATAAAAAGCATTAGTCGTTCACTAGTGAATTATTTAAATATTTGAGAATCAATAGAGATTCATGTAACTCTTACATGTACATACTTTACAATGCATCCAATGTATGCTAGCAATATGTATCGACATTCTCGGACACATCTAGAATTAGACTTATGCCTCCAATCTTATCTGTGGACACATTTAGAATTTAGACTTATGTCTCCAGTCTTATCTGTGGACACATCTAGAATTTAGACTTATTCCTCCAATGTTATCTGCGGACACATCAATCTTATAACTTCTATGATGAAAAAAAATATGATTGTCGAGAAGAAAACTTGCTGGTTAACAACAGAGAAGGGCTATAATGATACATTGATACTATTGATATTTCTTGCGACGACACATGTATTGCATATATATAACATATATCATTATTTCTTATGTTTCTTGATGCTCTCTATTTATTATTTGTACTTTTTAATGTCAAATGTGAAATGGATGTTTTCATTCTATAGATTTTACATTTGGAAACTCTTACATTTGTATGTTAAGATATTTTGATGTAAAGTTGAAATATAACAACTTTAATATATATATTTATTATATTATATGGGAAATGACTTTGCAATATGTGGCAACTCTTCATCGCAATATTTACTGTAACGTGAGGTTGTAACACCAATATACCCAGCAACAGAACAGAGCTATCTGTCGGTGAGGAATTATCAATCTTGGATCAGTCAAAAGAACCATTATACACTTACATAATCTAACTTAGTTTTCAGGCTTTATTAATTTGGTTGGTCCAAACAGTTCAGGGAAAATGTTTCAGGCTGTTAATCTGTTGACAACACAAGGATCATAGATGACATAAGTGTATAGTGTACATGGGTGGATTGGTTGAGTGGTTAACACTCCGGCCTTCCAAGCAGGCGGCCGGGGTTCAATCCCCGAAGTCGCCGTACGCATGGAATATTAGAGAAAGTGTTTTTCTCCTGCCCACACAACTCCAACAACCCAGGTGGAGTATAAAATGGTCTGGGGTGGGTGTTGCAGTATTTGTGCTGTAGCATTCAAGTGAGGTGGCACTGTAAATGATACTGTTGGAAAAACGGTCCCACTACAAACGGAACACAATACATCTCCAGTACACACAGGCATACACACATATTAGCCACGTGGCATAGGACTAGTAGTTAGCGCCTGATAAGGCGCCTGCAAATTCCTCAATTGTATTGATTAATATATATATGCTAATTGTATCGACTGTATAAAATTGTATATCTATGTACTGTTAAGCGCTTTAGAGTGACTTACATGTATGTTAGCTAGATAGGGTGCTATATCAAATGGTGTATATTTATTTATTTATTTTATAGTACTAGTACAGTACTCCATCCACACTGCATTTGTAGTGGGGATTGGGTGGGGGCCATACCTGTGCATTACCCTTGTCCATCCTGTACTCGTATTCTCTGGTTCACCAAGTTTATACAAAGGTCTGGACATTAGAATACAGCAAATAAGTTTATTTTTTCAGGGTCACAAGGGCATTGCTGGTATTTATAGGTCATCAACCACTGTGAGGGCCAAGGCGGGGGCTTTCATGTGTTACAGAATTTGAAGTTAAACATTCCTTTGCTGCATTAATTGTAATATATGGTATAGCGGTATAAATGCATATATTGATAATGTATATCAAATTTACAAAAGAAATATTTCCGTATCAGCAATCATGATTA